GTTTGAAGCAGAGAGTATTCTTCTCTGGCCACATCAAGACTCTACAGAGGGTTTTTATTTTTCTTTAGGTTCTTTGTTTTTTCATTTCTATTAGAATTTGACAATTGCAGCTCACTGGCAGAGATCAATCTGTGTATTCTGATAAATCCTATTATTTTACATTGGATCCATTATTATGAGTAAAAGCTTGAATTAAAGGACTGTGACATGGGATTCTTCAAGGTGAAGAGGACCAAGATGGTCATCTTTGTGTTGTATGTTTCTCTGCCACCTAGATAAGTGCAAGCATATATGGCAGCTGCCTCTAAAGAAAAGAACTGCAGAAAACAACACTAACAAACTGTCACAAAATTTTCACTTGGATACTGGTGAGATAGGTCCAATATAACAAAAATAAATAAATAAATAAATAAATAAATAAATAGATAAGATCAGAGACTGAGATTTGAGCAGATATAGTTTCACTTTTTAACCTCTCAGAAGGAATTATCCATTCCATGTACTTTTGTACCATAGGGACTATCTGGTTTGAATGCTATCTGTATGGGGTCATTGGAATAAGCACAGAAGTCCCACAGACTGAATGCTATGGGACTTTCAAGTCCTCTCAAAAGAAGGAACTAATGTTTAAACTAGAAAAATAGCTGAGACATAAGATCACTACCCATGGTCCAGTCCTGAAGACAGCAACAACACAAGAAACAGCTACAAGAATCTGCAAAATAAATAAATGCCATGTATATATATAAATATATACATTAAATAAAAATAAAAATAAAAATAAAATATTGAGGTTATTTCTTAATAGTATCTCTACAGACACTTGACAGGATATAAGATCATAAAATCATAGAATGCTTTGGGTTGGAAGGGACCTTAAAGATCACAATGTTCCAGCCCCCTGCCATGGGCAAGGACACCTCCCAGTACACCAAGTTGCTCAAAACCCCATCCAACCTGGCCTTGAACACCTGCAGGAATATGACATCCACAGCTTCTCTGGACAACCTGTTCCAGTGCCTCACCACCCTCTGTGTAAAGAATTTCTTCAGCATATCTCATCTAACATACCCTTTTTTAGTTTAAAGCCAGTCCCCTTTGTTCTATCACTGCACTCCCTGTGCTACTGCTTACTCTACTCTCCTATAGGCCCTCTTAAGGTACTGGAAAGCTGCAATAAGGTCTCCCTGGAGCCTTTTCTTCTCCAGGCTGAACAACCCCAACTCCCTGAACCTCTCTTCAGAGGTGAGTTGTTCCAGCCCTTAATTTTAATATTAAATATTATTTTTTTAAGATTATTATTTTCTTCTTCAATTACACTTAACAACTGATTTTGATCACCCTACACATCCCAGTGTCAAGTAAAGAAAAGCAATGAACCTGGGGGCTAATTGCCAAAAATTTTGTCTTGAGAAAAGATGGTAAATGAGGTAATGTTCAGAGAGAATTTTTTTCCTCATTTCCTCAACTAGCTTTTTTTTTTTGCTTTTTTTTTTGCTTTTTTTTCAGAGAAGAAAGGGGAGAAATTTCTAACACACAGAAGAAATCTGACTGTTTCAGTAGTCAGGGCTATCCTTAAAAACATATTTGAATACCTACAGATAGAAAGGAGTGCCTGAATATAGCCACTTAACTCCCACGCAGGATCCCAGCTCAGGAGGTATTTTGGGGGACTCTCCCAGAGACATAAACACTTAAGTTATTCGTTACTTGGATTGTAAGTGCTGCAAACAGTCTGTTCTGGAGGAAGGAATGCCCGGGGAGAAAACATCGTTTTTATTAATTTCCCTGTTAGTCACAGCACATTGAAACTTGAGCAGTCACACAAGGGTCTCCTCTGGGAATGCACTGCCTACTCAGCACCCCTTCTGTCCTTGGTCCCTTGGGAATGTTGGGTCTTCCAGAGAGTTCCCAGTTTGTCACTTGTGCTTACGCACACACAACACTGGACTGGGTTCACTTAAACCAGCGCTTTTAGAAATGGCCTTCAGGTTTGATCTAGCAACTCAATGGTTTTGCCTACAAACCTGTAGTAGAAAAAATTTGGCTCAATCATTTTTAATTCTCGCCTTCATTTATCATCCAGAATCTCTGTCTCCTTATGAACAAAGGAGAATATATATAACTGCATTCAATTTATGAGATGTGTTTGAGTATTAATCATTTTATATATGTCAAAACACATTTTGGAAGCTGGCCAAAACCATATTTGCATTTCTGCACTTTTAAAGGGTAACAGCAGCAAACGACTAAACACACTGCTACAGTAACGTGTTTCTCACATATATTTTTCTCCTTCAGGATCCTGAATTAAATTCAGGTTTATCAATAAAAAACACTACCAAAACAGCTTTGATTATTTTTTTTTAAATAAAGGTCTCTTATAGATAAAGCCATTGTTGCTTGCTTCTGAACACTCCCTGCTTTCATTGTGCAGAGCTTTTTCTTACAGCTGCTAAATCCTATTTTCACGAGGAAAAAAAAAAAAAAAAAAAGTAATTTTGCACCTCTAATCATCAAAGCAGCATAATTTAGGCCTTTATTTTGTCAGTCATGAATTGTCTTTCTTGTAAGCACATAATGTCATAATATTCTTTTTGATTAATGAGGATCCTACAATTACAGGGTAGGAACCATCATGCAGAGCTTGTTTAAAGGCAAAAATTACAGTTAATGCTAATACATTACCAAAGAGTTAGGGGTGGAATTATTACTGTCACCAAATCAAAAAAAAATCTGCATCCAGAAGACTGATAGCTTTTGTCATTTCTGGAATGAAGTTCTGGGCATTTGATGAACTTTCACATGGGACCTCTTGAATGCCCACTCCTATTTTTGCACGCTTAATGTCATTGCACACATTATCTGGAATACCTCTGCCTACCTCAGGGACTGACAGATGTGGACTGAAGTCTTTGACTACAAAACAAAAGGAGTCTAGCAAAAGCTAGCCCATGTAAATGGAAATCCATCACATGTGTAATAACCGTTTAGAGGCGTCACCGTACAATCAGCCTCCACCATGCAAGTTAGAAACAATGACCAGCAAGGCACACGGAGGCAGAAAACTTAATCTTATAACAATAATGTTAAAAATCAAAACCAAAGTGAACCAATAAGCCTTCAAATTAATCCTTGTATTGTTAGAGGCTAATTCTTTGTTTGTTACTGCCAGTTGTTAAAAATGCATTTTTCCAAGTCTTTTCACTGAAAAAAGCAATTTAACAAAACAGTATATCTTGTGGTATAGTGAAGAAATTTATTTTTATCCACATGTCCAGACACTGATCCCTGCTGCAGAAACACCAGAACATTTTCTTGAAGTGTCTCTGTGACATAAATAACAATCCCAAGAGTGAGAGAGGGACATGCAAATTTTACATGATGCTGAAGTATTTTTTCAATTTTGCTTTCAGCAATTTTAGAAAGAGTACTCCAGTCTTTCTACTGTTTATTATTTTTTGACATATCTCAGTAGTACAAATACACTAAAGATCAAAACCTTAGGATTGAAAATCTCAAAACCAATTTTCCCATTAGAAAATAATTACTTGGGATGGGAATGATTAAACAATGAGCACAAATGATGTCAAAAATAAAGTGCCTTTGATACTGCACATTCAGAACATGCTATCATCTTCCTTGAAATCTCATCTTCTGTCATAACTTCTTATTTAATTTCACTCTAGTTGGGTGTATCATGCTTGAATAACTCAAGTGTGGAGGCTCATTCCAACTTCCAATGTGTCAATGTCATTAACTGAACATGTTTTACAGTGGAAAAGACTGGCTGATGTACCAACTCAGTCATTATCCAGCAGACAGATATACAGCTGAAAGCCATTAACCCAGAGAAAACAAATGATTGCTCTCAGGCTGTGCCCTTCCAAGTTTATGCTGCGTGTAAGGAAAAACACCCAATCTCACACTGTGGTTCCCCTTGATATAAAGACCTTTTGTTATAAAAAAGTATTCCCTTAAAATTAACAGATTATTTTAAATATTCCATTTTACTTGGAAAGGCAACATAGATTCAGGGTTCTAAAAACCATGAGAAAACATAAACACATAATAAGCAACATAAGTATATAGCCTAGAGCATGAGATAATACTACATAATCCATTTTCTACCACCTAAGGGGCTTCAAGCATCAGTTAGAGGGAGAAGAAACAAAACCAATTTCACCTACTACAATCTTTTGATGTTCTCCATTAAAAGTAATGGACCATGATAAGCAAGAGGTCAGGAGACTGCATTATTCAGTAGCATTTTACAACTTTCATTTCTATGACATTTTTAATATTACCAATGATGCCACAATATTTTAACCACATTTAATGATCTAAAAATTATCTGAATCAAATATCAAGTTTGTTAAATAATTAAAAGATTCAGCTTTACGATAAGCATGACTGCTAAGTATCTTATTGCCAACCTGTACTCTAAATTTCACAGATTATTATATATAATTTATATATAAATATAAATTTCACAGAGTTCCTGAGCCAAAAGTTGTATTCAGTGCAATGGTCAGCAGCTGCTGGTGGATCAAGTCTCCATGATTTTTAATGTCTGCTTTTTAAATTAATTTTGAGAGAGGATTTATGCAGCAAAAGCATGGGAGGACCACCAGCAAATGTCGATTATCACAACTCCACTAAATTCAGTATAGTCCTCCAGTCACCAGTCCAGAACACGGTATTTATCTTTTTTTGGTTTTATAAATCTTTAGAGCAGAAGGCGCAGATGAGGCATCCCTGTCCTAACAGTTCTGTATCAAAACTGTCTTTGACAACTTCCATTGACACAGAAGTATTGACTTTGGGAAAAAGTTCTAGGGGCCATTATCTTAGATAATACATATTTTCTTACAGTGTTAGCTGAAATGACAACACAGACTTATGCTTGCTCTGGTAATGTTAATCCAGTTGTCATATGCATCAAGGAAACCAAAATACAAGTATTAGAATGAACTCAATAAAATAATCTCCAAAGATATTAGAAGCCAATTCTCAGTTAAGAAATGTTTCCTCTTTGTACTTACGTCAGTGGAAATTTCTTCCTATATGCAATAAAGCAGGCCTGAAGTGGGCACCAACTCATTTCTGCTTTGTGAGGAAAAGTGATCCATATCTATCCTGTTCTTGGCCTCTGCAGTAGTCATTCTCATTCCATAATGTTCATCCTTATGGACTGACATCACTTTCCCTTAAATTGCACAAAGGGCTGCATACAACATCATGTTTTGTTTTGTTTTGTTTCGTTTTGTTTTTTATTTTTTATTTCAGCCCCCTGTTTTTGCAGACAATCATCCCAAACAATCCCATAGAGAAGTTTATCAAGCTTCATCTTCAAAAAATTTCAATGGTCTCATTCCACTGTTCATCTGAAGACTGTTACACAACCCTCAGTATTCTGATTGTTATTCCAGATGGTTAGAAAATTTCTTCTAATTATCAACCTAAATTTATTCATGGGATCCATTTGTTCTTCTGCCAGTATTGTTCTGTAGCAACAAATTTTACTCACTGCTGAGTTGGGTTGGGATCAGTAAGCCGTAACCTAAAGATAAAAGGATCATAGTCTGGCATTTGTTTATGAACTATTTCCCCTGTACTTATTTAACAGAAAAAGATGAAGTGAGGTGATGAGAAATGTAAGTGAATGTCATTGGCAGTTAAAATGATAGCTTACAAAGTTACATGACAATTAAGAGTCTTCCTAAATTACAGTTCACGCTTTAAATGATTAATATCTAATTATCTGTACATGTATATCTCTATAAGGTAATTATCTCTAACTTGTTAAATACATAAGCATTCTACAAAAGCTTTGGCCATTAACAGAGTAATTTATCAATAATGTGCTTTGACTTAATTACATAGAAAATATATTTATTGCATATATTAACCTGATGAAATGATTTGGCTTGTTAGAAGAACCTTTTTAATTCTGATGGTGGCTTTTTAAGCCGTCTGCTGAACATAACATCTGCTTTTTCCAGGATCCAGACTTCCACCCCTGCTCCACACCCAGCACTTGCCTGTTCTGATTTTTCACTGCAAGCAGCCATCCTTCACTCTGATTTCTACCTTCCCCTTCCAGGCAATTCCCGTTCACAGTCTTGACCTTCCTATACTACAAATGGATGCACATAAAAGAACAAAACAGGGCCTACTCCTAACCTCCATAAGGGAAATCTGGTCCATATAGTGACTGCGAGTGCTCTCAAGAGCATATCCTAATGCAACCAAAATGCCAGGCTCTTCCTCAGCCTTTGAGGCAGAGGTCTGCACAGGAGAATGTCAGGAACAGGCTGGGTAGCTTAAAGTGCTTTTTATCACAGATAAAGCAGGCAGCTTGGTACCTCCAGCACCAATACCCCTGCCAAGAGACAACGGGAATCTATTTGCTTTTGTTTGATTTTGTTGCATGCTACCTTTAAGACCATTACTCAGGGTCAAATAGTCATTGAATAAGACATAGTAAGCTGGAGTTGGTCAGGAGACAAAACTTGCAGCGCTCATCCCAAATGACTTTGTCAGACAAAGATTTTTTCAGCCCACAGGGCAGAAAAACAAACAAACAAACAAAACAAACAAAGAAACAGTAGCAAACAGATTAAATAGCATGTACTTCTAATTTTCCCAAGGCTGCTTAGATATTTATGTGAAGCACAAAAAATAATGAGCAGCTTTGTCCAGTCCATGGCTGGAGTATCTGCCAGGCTCCTTAATGACCAACCACCTTTTATTTAATTTTTTTTCTTATGGAACAGATTTCCACAAAACATGATTCCTTTGCCTTTTTTGCCAGAACTGTCTCTTTGTCCAAAGCTGTCTATAAAAGGCATGCCTGAATAGTCTGCTGCTATTAAAGTCATGCGGGCGTATATACACAAAAGCTGCTCCTTCCAAGTATCATACCTGTTTCTCCACACATGAGAAGCGGAAAGAACAGGTTTGCTTCAAGCTTGAATCTATTATATCTTACTGGCTGCAACCATTCCTGTGAAAGAAAAAAAAAAAAAACTCCACTGTAATCTTTGTATTTTTTTAATCTTTGTATTTTTGTGTTACAGGTTGTGCAAGATTTTTGCTTCCCGACAAGGTTCAGGGGAATATAGATGGATGGATGGATGGATGGATGGATGGATGGATGGATGGATTAGATAGATAGATAATAGCAGGAGAGAAGGAAGGAAGGAAGGAAGGAAGGAAGGAAGGAAGGAAGGAAGGAAGGAAGGAAGGAAGGAAGGAAGGAAGGAAGGAAGGAAGGAAGGAAGGAAGAGAAAGAAAGAAAGAAAGAAAGAAAGAAAGAAGAAAGAAAGAAAGAAAGAAAGAAAGAAAGAAAGAAAGAAAGAAAGAAAGAAAGAAAGAAAGAAAGAAAGAAAGAAAGAAAGAAAGAAAGAAAGGAGAGAAAGAGAAAGAGAGAAAGAGAGAGAGAAAGAGAGAGAGAAAGAGAGAGAGAAAGAGAGAGAGATAGAGAACGAAAGAATGAAAGAACGAAAGAACGAATGAAAGAACGAACGAAAGAGAGAAAGAGAGAAAGAGAGAAAGAGAGAAAGAGAGAGAGAAAGAGAGAAAGAGAGAAAGAGAGAGAGAGAAAGAGAGAGAGAGAAAGAAAGAAAGAAAGAAAGAAAGAAAGAAAGAAGAAAGAAAGAAAGAAAGAAGAAAAAAGAAAGAAAGAAAAAGAAAGAAAGAAGAAAAAGAAGAAAGAAAAAAGAAAGAAAGAAAGAAAGAAAGAAAGAAAGAAAGAAAGAAAGAAAGAAAGAAAGAAAGAAAGAAAGAAAGAAAGAAAGAAAGAAAGAAAGAAAGAAAGAAAGAAAGAAAGAAAGAAAGAGAAGGCTGACAGATGACCTAGAGTTTTCACATTTCCACTAGGAGTAAAGAAGTGGTTTCAATGATATTTAAGGAATTTAGGAAAATGGCTCTTCCCCTACCTACCCATCCACAATGAATAAAAAGATTTTGTGTGTGTATTTTTTTTTCTTAAAAAAAATAATAATAAATTAAAATACATATATGGAAAATAAATCTGCTCCTAGTGGACAGTCTGGATTGTAAATGTAGTATTTCAGTTGGCAGATTAGCAAGCTTTCATGGGAATTAGTAGAAATCCCCATCATTCACAGCTGACATGGACAATAAAATCTGTTTTCTGTCATTAATTTGGCACCATCAGACTGACTGGTCACCTGCAGTGAGCTGTGAGGGATGGGAAGTGGGGAACAGTAATGTCTATTCACCAGATAGTACTGTGGAAAGCAAACAAAAAATAATCTGGGTAAAACTGTGGGCCACAGAGAACTTCTTGTTCATTCAATGCAGAGTGCAAGTTTACTAATGTGATTCCTCAGAGCTCTTCTCTTATCCACAGTTCAGGGAAGGGAACCATTTCCTTTTTACAAGAAGGAAAGAAAAACAAATATACAGAAGATTGATAAAAGTACAAGGCATAAGCACTGACAAGTCTTTGAGGAACTACTTATTCATTAATAATATTTACTTAGCAATAACAGATGTTCAAAGGTCAGCTTTTCAATGTTTCAGTACAAAATTTATTTTTAAGTAGATAGTCTTTGGAGTGGCTTAGATCAGATTTCAGGATTTAGAAATATATTACTTTGATCAGATTTCAGGATTTAGAACCATATTACTCAAGGAGCTCATTTTACTCCAGGTAGACTTCTTGAGAAGGAACCTGCTAGCTGGGGAAAGGACTTTAAAACTTGGCTGTGTGAATTTTATTGTTGCCAAAGTACAAACAGCTTTACCAGTTTGACATTTCTGGTCCTGAATGCTGTAAGTTTGCTCAGACATAGCTAGCTCAGACAACATGCTGGCTCAGCAGCACAAGAGTCTTTGTACAAAATTCTGGGCAAATCTCAAAAGACAGAGTTTAGACAAGGTTGTTAAAGCTGGCTAAAGCAACTAACACTAACAGTGAGTTTTGAGGGCAGCAAATCAGTGCCAGATTTCACTGAAGCCTGGTGAACAGAACCCCACTTAATACCAAAAGTATTTTTTGGGCAGAAAAGTAGAAACACATGCCAGTTGCCCCATTTTCCATTTCTGTCTTGGAGACGGAAAAAAGCTGACAAATCAGAAGAAATTAAAAGCTCTGTATCTGTGGAGTGTGGTCAGTTCTGCACCCACCTCTGTGATTACACGGTTATGGATGTTTAGACTCAGCTAAACTTTGCACAGGACTTTTCCACATCCATCCATAGTGAGAGCAACCCACTGGTTACACATCTAGAGAAAACAAAATATGCAACAGGGAGTACAATTTTATGTCCTACATGTCAGGGCATTCTGCTACATTTTATATTCCACAGCAGCATTACCATGTGGAAATGTGTGGACATGTGCTCCAAGCTCAGCCAAGATGTTGTGTACTATCCCTACAGTACAAGGTGCAACTGTGGACTGTTGTTGTGCTCAGCAGGTACTAAGAGCCCAGGGTAAATCTCCCCTGTGTGTGCAAGACATTCTCCATCTCTCCCTCTTTGCACCAAATGAGTAAATTTTGCCAAAACTACCCACAATGAGTCTGCCACCTGAGCCCTGAACATAAAAGGGACGGTGAGTCCAGGACACTTGTCTCTCATAGATAAAAAAATACCCCCAGCTAGCAAACAGGAGATGTTTTGCAAGCATTATCTCCTGAGTTTGTCTATTCTATAGTCCTCACAGGAGCGATGGCTCATATCTAATCTCCTCATGGTTTTATATGGGGCTGGCTTCCCCCATATTGCCTTATTTCCAAGTTACAGTTCAAGGCCCTTAACCAGAAAAAAAAAAAAAAAAAAAAAAAAAAAAAAAAAAAAAAAAAAAAAGTGGTTTCCTGCTTAGTTTGAATGGGTTTGATGGGTATTAAACTGTGGCATTTTTGACTGATTCTGTTCACAGCACCTATAAATACTCACAATAAAGCTTCTTGCTAATGACAATATTTTTTTTCTGTCCAGCTCTGAAAAGTGTTCATTATTAGCATGCACTTGAGAGGTTAATTTTTCATTTCTGTGTGATTAATTGCAGCACTCTGAAGTAAACATCCTATACAACAGCCACTCAATGTGTGTGGTGGTGGTGTGTGTTCAGTCCATTTCTTTCTAAAATATACATACACACAGGAACATTAGCCCATTTAAATAAATAAATAAATAAATAGAAGTTAGAGTGCTCCATTCTAAGCAAATCAAAGTTGAAAATGGGATACAGTGAATATATCACTACGGTACCAACTAACACATTTTTTTCCCCTCTGGAAAATACATTTGTTCTTTTTGAGCCTGAAATTTCACTCAAACAAAATTAATTAGTGACTAAACCACCTTGTGATGCAGTCTTTTTGGCAGTTAGACAATGATACCATAAAAGGAAATGCCAAATGAGTTAAAAATAAAAAATAAAATTAAAAAAGTAGAAAGGAATAGAACAATACAGAATATGGAATTAAAGTGAGCTTTATTTACTGGCTTTGAACAAGGATCTATCAAAGGTAGGAAAAGTTGGGTTTTCAGAACTGCAATTAAGCAACAAGTATCCTTAGATTTCAAGGCTCTTTATAGTAAATGCATTTGTGTTGTTTAGGAGTTACAAAATGCACAAAACTTGCTTATGAAACACTTACAAAAGAGCTCCTAACCCTCTCTAATCACACCATGATAAAAAGGTGACCTGTAAGGCCCAAATTGATACCTGATAGCTTGGACACATGCAAGAGCTACCCAGATTAATCCAACTCCTCACACAGCAAAGCTACACAACTGAATGGTCCAATCCAATTTACATATAATTTTAAAAAGACATGGAATTAAGAACTTTGTCTGAGCATTAATAATAAGGCTCCAATGGAAAAATATAAATAAATAAAAATAAAAATACTAATATTAATAATAAAAGTATTCAACTGTGAAGCTGGTGCCAAGAGCTACTGAAATATAAAGACATAGACAAGTTGACAAAGAAGCTAAGCACATCTGTACTATAGCAAATGCAAAGCTTTAAATGCACTAACCAGAAGAAAACACTTTCAAGAGGTATCACAGAAATCTAAATACTGAGAACCACTAGTTTCACTATTATCTTTACATATCTGATGATCAGCCTATATTACAAGCAGTTTCAGAGCACACATTGAATTTGCACATACTCCTTCAATACACGTGTTGTACGATGCAAAATGTAAGGATTATCTACTTCCTTTGGCTGTCACCCTTCTGACAATACTGTAAGTACAGTGAACAGTGCCTTAGTTTTCTGCAAGTCTAGATATGATAGCGCACCATGGCCAGTAATGCATTCAAAAAGATCCAGATACACCTGCATAGTTTGGCTAACCTGGGCTGTCTCACAAACTATATTGCTTCTTAGATTAATATCTGAGCTCCAAGTCACTGATGATTTCCTATCTCAGAGATCCCCGCTCTCTGGGGACAGAAAGATTTTATAATAACAAACAGGGCATCCAAGTAGAATGATAAACTGTTCCTTAACATTGTGATTGCATGTTTGTGGGAGTAATATATATAGTTAAATTTTATTAGACAGAACATACATAAAACCATAAATAATATATGAATATTATCTTCTGCTAAAAATTGCTTGATGCCAGCTGGAATCACACTAACATTCTCTAACTTGTGAAGCCAAAGAAATCTTCAGTTACTAATTTCTTGTGCCATTTGCTCCAAATTTTGATGTCAAATAGAAGGTAGGTTTTTGGGTGTTTTTTAAGCACCCAAAATTTGAAGAAGTGTTTTGCTTTTAGATTAAAGCCTTTCAGCACTTACATCAAAGTTTTTGAGGCTCAGAAGTTGGGTTCATAAGCTAAACAAGTTCTTGGAAGTTAATTTGTTTGGAAAGCTTTTAGTCAGGAAGACAGATCATGTCTATGAAGAGAACTGGCAAACAAACTCTACAAAACAAATGGACTTACAGGTGAAGTGTGTTTCATGCATGATTAACTGTGCAAACAAATCTATCAATGACTTAGGAGAA